AAGAGCAAATACACCCACCTGCGGAATGAATCTGTCTCCTCTCTGGAGGAGGCAGTGGGGGGCCCGGGGGTTTCCCACTCCCCAGTGGAGTCCCCTGCAGGCACACCCGGCTCCTTGTCCAACTCCTCCTCCCTCGGCCCCGCCACTCCCCTCTCTCCTGAGTCGGAGGACAGCCCCACCACCCTTTGCTCCTTCTTCCCCAAAATGGCCAACCTGAAGCTCTCAAACCCTGCCAACCTGCTCAGCTTGCGGGGCTCCTCAGCCGGCAGCATCCCAGGGGACACCGGCCTCAGCGCCGCGCTGGCACCGGCACCGGGGGCGGCTGCTGGCCCCGACTCAGCGGGACCTGTCACTGTCTGTCCCCAGGATATGAACAAGCTGAGCTGCGGGAAGAAGACGCGGGTGGAAGGGGGCCAGGATGAATGGACCCGCCACGGCAGCTTCGTCAATAAACCCACCCGCGGCTGGCTGCACCCTGATGACAAGGTCATGGGCCCCGGGGTCTCCTACCACGTCCGGGTGAGTGCTGGGGAGCAGGGCCATGTGAGGAGGGATTTGGGGACCTCCTGGTGTGCTCCTGGAGGGTGGCAGGGGGACAGTGGGATTGCTGGGAAGGGCACAGCTGGGGGATGCTTCCTCCCTCCCCAGCTGCATGGAGGTCCCCTAGCCAGGCTGACCCTGCTCTCTCCCCCAGTACATGGGCTGCGTGGAGGTCCTTCAATCCATGAGGGCTTTGGATTTCAACACCAGGACGCAGGTCACCAGGTGAGCTTGGCCTCTCCCCTGGGCTGCTGCTTTTGGGGTGGGGAGATTCTGAGTCCCCCCATAGGCCACTGCTGGTGTGTGGGGCTCTTGGTGGGGTTCAGGCTGACTGCAGCCCTATCTAACAATGCCAGAGTGTTGCCCCTGCTTGAAGATCCTCCAGCTGGTCCCTTCTGTGCTGGTCCTGGAGTCCTCAGTCCCATAGCTGTAGGGGTCTCAGGGGGTGAGACTGGGGAGGGCAGGTGCTGGGGGGGCTGACATCCTGCTGTGCTCCCACAGGGAGGCCATTGGGCTGGTGTGTGAGGCCGTGCCTGGTGCCAAGGGAGCTGTGCGGAGGAGGAAGGTGAGGGGGCCCAGGGGGACCATGCAGGGCCAGGGGCTGCATCCTGTGCTAGGGCACTGGGTGTTCCTGGCAGAGCCTGGCTGGACTGGTGCTGAGGACACAGTGCCTGTCCCCACCACAGTGGGCAGCAGGACGTGCTCTGTCCCCTCCCAGCTAGGCTGTGTCAGGCCTGAGGAGCCCCTTTCCCATCCTACCTTTTGCCCCCAGCCCTGTGGCCGCTCCCTCAACTCCATCCTGGGCAAGAGCAACCTGAAGTTTGCTGGCATGCCCATCACCCTGACCATCTCCACCAGCAGCCTCAACCTCATGGCTTCTGACTGCAAGCAGGTAAGGGCAGGCAGGTGCTTGGGCTGGGTGGCTGTAGAGGAGCAGGAAGCCTTGTGTCCCCCACCCTGGGCCCTGCCGGGGCAAGGGGATGTTCCCAGGCCTCCCTAAGGGATGTCTGGTTTGCTGAGTGCCCGCCTCTCCTTGTGCCTGGGGATGAAGAGGTCGGAGTGATACCTTGTGTGCTTTGCAGGATCTATCCTGGGGGCTGTGAGACCCGAGTTAGGTCTCACCAAACTAAGTCTCCTGGTTTTGACCCTGCTTTTGGTTGCCCAGTTAGTGTCCCAGCCTTTTTCTGCCCAGGGCAGTGGTGGAGTCCCCATCCCTGAAGGTGTTAAAAATCCACATAGATGTGGCACTTAGGGACATGGTTTAGTGGCACAGTGGGGTTGGGTTGTTTGTTGGACTTGATGATTTTGGAGCTCTTCTCCAACCTTATTGATTCTATTATGTGATTCTATTCAATTCCTGGTGGCCTGTGGCTCATAATGAGGGCTCTGGAGGCTCGTTAGCCCCCGTGCCCTGTGCCAGCTGAGCACGAGGAGCTCCTGGCTGCCTCCAACAAACCCTCTGCCTTGCAGATCATTGCCAACCACCACATGCAGTCCATCTCCTTTGCCTCGGGGGGAGACCCGGTGAGTATGCAGTGTCCCCTCTGTGTATCCCCTCCCCATGCAGGGGAGTGGAGCCCCCCCACCCCCTCCCTGCAGGTCTGTCTCACCCCTCGGGTCTCGCCCACAGGACACAGCCGAATACGTCGCCTACGTTGCCAAAGACCCCGTCAACCAGAGAGGTGAGGCTGCCACTGGGGGCCTGGCTCACCAGAGTCCTTCTCCATGGATGTTGAGGAGCAGGGAGGGGCTGGGTCCCCCATAAGAAAGTTCTGGGGTGCACGGGGCAGGCTGGAGGGGGATGAAGCTCAGCTTTGGGATTCCTCACTCCCATCTCACCATCCCTCCCCAGCCTGCCACATCCTGGAGTGCCCTGAGGGCCTGGCACAGGATGTTATCAGCACCATTGGACAGGCCTTCGAGCTGCGTTTCAAGCAGTACCTGAAAAACCCCCCAAAGCTGGTGACACCCCATGACAGGTAAGGGTGGGAGAAGAGTGGGAGGGGTCCTTATCACTCTCTACAACTCCCTGAAAGGACGCTGTAGTGAAGTTGGGGTTGGTCTCTTCTCCTGAGTAACCAGCAGTGGGACAAGAGGAAATGGCCTCAAGTTGCACCAGGGGAGATTTAGATTAGATTTTAGAAGAAACTTCTTCACTGAAAGGGCAATTAAACACTGGGATAGGCTGCCCAAGGAAGGTGATTGAGTCACCAGCCCTGGAGGTGTTTTAAGATGTATAGATGTGGTGCTGAAGGACATGGCTTAAGCTTGGTAGAGTTGGGTTAATGGTTGGTAGAGTTGGGTTGTGGTGAGACTCAATGATCGAGAAGGTCTTTTCAAACCAGAACCACTCTGTGATTCTGAAATGGTTTGGTTTTGGAGCTGGGATGCAGCCCTGGCTGCTGTCAGCTGCTGAGCAGTGCTGTGCCCTCCAGGATGGCTGGGTTTGATGGTTCTGCCTGGGATGAGGAAGAGGAGGAACCAGCCCCTGATCACCAGTACTACAACGACTTCCCTGGCAAGGAGCCTCCCATTGGGGGGGTTGTGGACATGCGGCTGCGAGATGGGGCTGCTCAGACCCCCAGTCACCTGGGGGCCACGCTGGTGAGGCTCTGGGCATATCCTCATGGGAAGGCTCCACACCACAAGGGAGGTGTGAGGACCCCGACTGGGCCCTGGGCAGGGTCACTCCACTACAAGAGCCATGGCACATGTGTCCCCAGCCCCTCTGGCAGCCCAGGGCTTGTGGAGAGGAATGGGATTGGGGGAGTGGGATAGGATGGGGTGTGTGTCTAGGCTCACCCCTGCCTCCCCTTGCAGCCTGTTGGCCAGGTGTCCGGCGGGGAGTACGACCCCCGGAAGCAGCACCCGCCTGCCCAAGGTAACGTGATGGCCGTGGCCAGTTCCTCTTGGCTTCCCTGGGCCCTGGTGTCTGTCTGAGCTGGGGTGTGGGCTAGAGCCCTCAGCAGCAGGGAGAAATACCTGGTCCCAACAGGTGCCTCAGGCCGCACAGACCTGTTTGATGACCCGTCCTACGTCAACGTGCAGAACATGGACAAGACACGCCAAGCGTCGGCCACGGGCGCCCCCGCTACGGCCAACGGCAGCGCCCAGAGGGACCTCTTTGACATGAGTGAGTGGGGCTGGGCTGGGCTGGGTGGGGGTGAGGTGGGTCATGGACTTCCCAGCTCCTCTCTCCCTGCAGAGCCCTTTGAAGACGCCCTGCGTGTCCCCACATCCGTGCCCATGGGGCTGCCCCCTGCCCAGGTGGTGGCCTCCATGGAGGAGCAGCTGAGACGGGAGCCCTGGTACCACGGGAAGATGAACCGCAAGGAGGCCGAGAAGCTTCTGAAGGTGAACGGAGATTTTCTGGTGCGGGAGAGCACCACCACCCCGGGCCAGTACGTGCTGACCGGCCTGCAGGGCGGGCAGCCCAAGCACCTCCTGCTCGTCGATCCTGAGGGAGTGGTGAGTCCTCCTAAGGTGCCAGGGACAGAGCTTGGCATAGCTGGGGAGGCCCTGCAGGTTACAAAGAGCTTCATCGTGGAAATGGGGGGGTGTGAGGGCTGCCACCCTCAGGGCTGTGCCAGCCT